GATGGTGGGGGGGTTTAATCCCTAAATCCAATGTTTCAAGTCATCCTGCCACTTAAGTGTGAGAGAGGGCCAAGCCCAGACAAGAATGGGTCGAGACATCCTTGGGTCCGAGATAGATATATGGACTTGGCCAAATATTCCAACATTTCTCTACCGATTTAGCCCACCACCGAATACCGGACACCTTGAGAGATATCGGAGGACTTTCATCATTGCCTAACGTCACCTGCACTTTTCACGAAGCTAGTACAAGTGTTAAACAGAGAACAAACACATAATAAGCTACCCAAGCTGCCAAGCACACAACAATTACAAGCACATCAATCAATCAAATTAAAGTTCAAAGTTCTCATGCATGATCTGAATTTTTCAATAGATAAACACTTAGTTCCCATAACAGCGGGGTTAAACTCAGATGCAATTTTTTCAAGATTATTAAAAAAGCCTTTAGACACAATATCACGTATGAAATGGAACCTAACGTCTATATGCTTAGTGCGATCATCAAAAAAAGGATTTTTACACAATTGAATCCCCGGTTGGCTATCAGTAAACACAACGACATCTTTTTCAAGTAAACCAATTTCACATGAGAGGCCTTTCAACCGAACAACCTCTTTGAATGCCTCAGTCAAAACTACATATTCCGATTCAATTGTTAACAAAGCAACTATATGCTAAATTTTTAATTTCCAACTTTCACAAGAGCCACACAAAGTAAACACATAAGAAGTTGTTGATTTTCTATTGTCTCGATCATTTGCATAATTCGAATCAACATAGTCGACAAGTTTAACACCATAAAAGCACTTAGCAAATTTCGGAACAACATGCATAGAACCATTTAGGTACGTAACAGCCAAGAGCTTCAAATGAGGCATACCTGGATTAGACATGTACCTACTCAAGCAACTAACAACATAAGCAATATCTGACCTAGTACTAACCATAAGGTACATCACAGAATCGTGCATTTACATTCTTCATCACATCAATATCAGAACCGGTCTTGGAAGACCTATCCTTACTTAACACAAAGTAGGCAGCAAGTGGGACATTCAAAAATTTTGCGGATAGCATAGAAAATTAACTCAAACTCTTCTCCACATAAGAAATTTGATTAAGAAAAATCACAGAGTTTTTCCTATCGCGAATAATGTTCATTCAATGAATCATTTTGGCATCCCCAAGGTTTTTCATATCAAAATTATCACTAAAACATTTTTGAAGATGCTCGATAAACTTAATGCAAGGACCGACCAACAACATGTCATCCACATATATGACCAGAAAAGTAGAAACCGAGGCATTTTTTTTAAAGTACAAGCAACGATCATGTGAATCCTTTTTAATTTTTAAAGAAAGCATGAACATATCAAATTCTTGTTCCATTGCCTATGATATTGTTTCAAATCATACAAGGATTTCTTCAATAAACACACACAATCAGATTTCTTAGCATCCATAATTCCAACGGGTTGTTTGATATAAACTTTTTCATCCAGTTCACTATACAAGAAAGCGGTTTTAACATCCATTTGCTTCAATTCTGAATCAAAGTGTGCAACTAATGCAAGCATGATACGCACATTGGCGAACTTACCAACAAGAGAAAAAGCCGCGGTATAATCAATACCTTCACGTAGTGAAACCTTTTGCCACGAATCAGCCTTAAACCTAACATAATCATGTTCTTGTTTAACCTTATAAAACCATTTGGAATCCACTAAGGAACAATTATCATGTTTAGGAACAAGAGACCAAGTATGATTCACATGCAATCAATTAATTTCTTTCTCATAGCATTTACCTATTACAAAGAATCAGCAGATTTTAAGGCTTCCTCATAAGACTTAGGCTCACAATAATCAATGGACTCAAAAACACCAAAAGCATATGAAGTCATGTGAAAATCATCAAACTTAGAAGGTTTCTTATGTTCCCTTCTAGTCATATTTCTAGCAAGTTGATAATCATGAAAATCAACATCATTTTCAGGCAAATTTTCCACATAGTCATCATGCACATCGACATTTTCACCATTTTCAGCAGGCTGATTATAATCACAACACGTTCGGTTTCAGTTTCAACATGAAAATTTTCAGAATTATTGAAATCACTTAAACCAGTCAATTGCTCCTGGCATTTGAAGCATTTTCAGTTTCATTATGTAAAGGAGTAGGCAAAGAAGCATTTAAACATGACATTTCAGATTCATTAAACTCAACATCTCTGCTTATCACAACCTTAAACCCAATACACTTCTAAACCAAAATCTATATCCTTTAACACCTTTAGAATATCCTAAGAAAACACATTTCATTGACCGAGGTTCAAGTTTATCAAGTTTCGTATGGCAAAATGCAGCACAATGAAAAACACACAAATTTGAAAAATCAATTTCCTTACCAGACCAAACGAACTCAGGACACTTACCACTCAATGGCACAAAAAGCGATCTATTAATCTAATAAGCAGCAGTTAAAACAGCCTCACCCAAAAACTTTTCTGAAAGACCCAAACTAGACAACATACACCTCACCCTTTCAAGTAAAGTTCTATCCATTCGATCGGCAACACTTTTTTTTAGGGGTGTAAGGCACGATATTATGGCTTCGAATACCAGATGAGCACATAATTCATCAAACATAATATTTTAAAATTCAAGTCAATTATCAGTCCCTAAGAATTTTAATTTTTTTATCGGTTTGGTTTTTAATCAAGATTTTCCAAATCTTAAAAGTTTCAAACGCATCAGACTTATTTTCAAAAGAAACATAAAGACCTTTCTTGAAAATTTATCGATCACAGACAAGAAAAACCTACTCCCGCCATGTGTCGAAACACTTGCAGGACCCCAAACATCGGCATGTAAATATTCAAGAATTTCCAAACACATAGAGGGTTTGAAGGAAGGTGAACCAGGAAACTTCACACGTTGTTGTTTGCCAAGCAAACAAGAATCACAAAACGGCACACAAGATAATTTATCCTTACCAAAACAGCTCTCTATGCCCAATATCAGTTTGGTCCTCATGAACAACATTTAGAGAAATTTCAACATGTGACTCACAAGTGGCAGTGCAAACATGAAAGTTTTTCCTTTTTTCTGCATTGAAAATAACCATGAACCTTTTATAATTTTCATCACCCCATTTACCTTCTAACCCATCATCCTCAAGAGAAGCACATGAATGAATCTAAGGCGAACCTTCGACTCTAATACCACTTGTTTGGGGTATCACAACTAGACATGGCCACAAGTGGGTCGAGCTCGCCGTTTTGGCTCGAACCAGCCCGTGGTCAACGGGACTTGAACTGAGCACGTGGTTTGATAGGGCCGGTCCTGGGCCGCATATTTGCAATTTTCTTAACCGCCGAATCGATTCAGAACTAGAACCTACAATTTGGCCTTTTTATTCATTTATTATTAGTTTTTAATTAATCGGGTCGGCCTGGACCCAACGCTTCATGAAATGACACGGAACTGCCGTTTCAGCAAACCGGGTTCAGAGCCTTCAAATCTGCGGCCCAGAAGGAACTGCCAATTGGCCATGTCTAATCACAACAGGCGCAACAAACAAAAATACTCGTAGTACAACAAATAATATCAAGCACTGCTACAAATGAAAAGAAATTAACACTAATAAATGCGTAAAATAAATTATGAGAAATGAAAAGACACACCAAATAGATAAAAAAGTTCGGCCAATATTGTCTGCGTCTATGGGTACAACCAACCGTAATGCCAAAGTCACTAAACTCATCAATAAAATACAACTATGGCTAACAACCCACAAATTATTTTTTTTTGATTAAGAATTTTTTTCTAAGATATGAGAGAAAACAATAAGATGTAGTTATATAAAAAAAAAAATCCTACACATTTTGATACACATCAAACATTAAGTAAAAAAAACTAGCGAACATATCAATAAAACCTAAATTAATGTCTCCATTTATAAATATTATCAATGAAAAAGTTTTCTCCTCTCCATGAGGCCTGCCTATACCACCGCAAATTTTAGTTTGACTTTTTGATATAGACTCAAAAAGAAGTTTCAATCTTGTTCAAAGCTCTGAAATGAAAATGAGCCCCACTTGCTTATGGCGCTTAATCTCGATAACACAACTTATTTGTACGTTATTTTATTAGAAAATGTTATAATCCCGTTACGGTACCATCCCTTAAGATGTTTTAACCGTTAAATCATCTATTTTATATTATCTACATGTGTATATAACGGTTAAAACACCCAACGGGATGGTATCGGACCGTAGCATGTCACTATTTTATCATCGTCCACACACAGACCCTACAGTTTAAAAGTTCACTCATGTTTCCTTGTGTTTCTTGAGATTCAATCCATCCTATACACTTTTTTTTTCTTTGCTTTTGCAGAATCGATTCGATCAAACAGAGGATTGACCAAAAAAACAACCGAATAAAGGAAAAAAAAAAAGATCAACTTTTTTCTCCTTTTTCCATTCTTTTTGACTCTGTGCCTACTTTTAGTTCATCCTTTTGGAGATTATTAGCCTTGACAACTCTGACTTGTTAGCCCTGTTTTTCACACCATAATTCAAGTTTTTACATTCATTTTCTTACCGTTTCTTGGTTTGCCGGGTGAGTCGACGCAGTTAGCGTCTCGAAAAGTGTTTGATCTAACATTTTTCGAGCGAAACAAGATTCAGCCCAGCGAGTGAAGGCTAACCCTGTAAGAGCACTCTATGTTTGGCAGTTTCTTGTTATTTTACCTTGTTCCCTTTTCTTGGTGAATTTTGAGTTTGAATCAGATATTTTGAGTTTTGTGTGTTTTACGAAGTATCTCGTTTACAGTAAACTATGTTTTAGGCTTTGAAAAAGTCTGTTTCTTTTCATCATTAATCATTTGTTTTCCACCCCATAAGTTCTTAGGGAAAAGCCTGTATACCCAAAAAAAAGGCCACAAAAGCTTCAGTTTCTACTTTGGATCTGGAAAAACTCTGTACCATTATGCATGTCTGGCCCCACGGCCACCGCCGATAATGTCGACGAACGAGCGCTCTCATTATCCGGCCGAACGAAATCCCTCGACTCCACGTTTTCCACCGACAAAACCGACCCGA